CAGCATGTCGGGGTCGTTCCACGCGCCGGGCCCCTGCGCGGCCAGCATGCCGTTGGCCTCGGCGTGGTCGCCCACCTGTTCACAGCACGAGGGCGTGACGAGGAGGCGCGGGCGAGGAGCAGCGACCGGCAGCGGGTCCCCAAACCCAGTCGACGATGCCGCTCACCGACTCGTAAGAGTCCTGGATGTCGTTGTACATCCGCCACATGTTGCACCGCGCCGCAGTCTCGGTGTAGTTGACCGGCGCCTCGCCCTTCGCCTACGCGCTCGAGCGTGCCGCGTGCCGCGTCGAGCGCGAGTGCCTCCAGCGCCGCCTCGAGGCGCGGACAAGGCGCCGTCCGGATGTAGTCTGGCCACGAGCACGAGTAGAGGACCGGCCGGCCCGTCCGGTTGAGCGCCTCGCCCATGCAGCGGTACGCCGGGTCGAGCACGCCGTGCGTGTGCACCGAGTGGCAGCCGTCCATCTTGAGCGAGTCGATCCCCCACCCCGCGTAGGTCGCCGCGTCGACACCCATGTAGCCCGGCAGCGAGCAGCTCTCGTCCTTGCACTCGCCGGGGTAGCCACCGCACGTCTCGGTGCCCATGTCGTTGTACGTGCCGAGCTTGAGCCCGAGCGAGTGCACGTAGTCGGCAAGCGCCCTCATGCCGTGCGGAAAGCGAGTCGAGTTGGGCGCCAGCTTGCCGCCCGGCGAGCGGCTCCAATTCTCCCAGCAGTCGTCGATGTTTAGGTACTCGTAGCCCGCGCCCCTCCATTCCGGCCGCGCCATGATCTCGGCGTGCTGCCGAACCAGCCGTTCCGAAATGCAGTTCTCCGGGTCCTCGGCACAGCTGGGCTGAGACGCGCCGCCGCCCGCCACGTCGCCGCCGTCGGCGGTGCAGCGGAAGCGCTCCCACGTCATCCAGCCCATCGGAGGCGTGCGTGCGACGCCGTTGTCGAGCGCGACAGAGGCGAGAGGCGGGAGGGAGAGCATGGTGGTGTTTGGCCCGACAGCTGGCCCGACTACTGGCGCCGATGAAAGAGACGCACGCAGAAAGAAAGAGAAACGCGCGGGCAACAATGACAGAGACAGACGACAACGACAGAGGTCAACCTCGCGCAAGAAAAAACGCTAGGCCTCAACATGACAAGCGACAGAACCAAGTGACACCGTCGCGCGCCCTAGATGTCCACGCTGTATGCAGGCCTCCTGCAGTGGTTTCAGGTCACCTGCCCGAGCTGCGCCCAGCACCTGCAGGTCAAGCTCCCCGAGGGCATCACGTCGGTGCAGTGCAGCGAGTGCAAGGGCGTCTTTGCCGTGCAGGTGCAGCCGGCGGCGCTGCAGCCTTCCCTGCAGAGCGGCGCCGCGAAGCGGAGCCGCAAGCGCAAGATTGAGAAGGAGGGCAGCGGCGCGCCCGGCGTGCCGCGTGCTCTCAGCGCCTACAACGTCTTCATGAAGGCGGAGGTCGCAAAGGTCAAGGCCGCCAACCCCGACCTGCTGCACCGCGACGCCTTCAAGCAGGCGGCTGAGGGGTGGCAG